TAATTGATTTTTTCCCTATTATGTGCTCAGTTCCCCCCCCCCACTAATAGGTAGTTCTGCAAAGGTGCTATACTACCACTTCTTGTTATAGCAGATTGTGGTGGTTATTCAGGTGGTGACTGCCCCCCCCACTCTCCACTGTGTATTGGGTAAAGTGCAAAAGTTCTCTTAAACAGGTAGAAAGTTAAGTTATTCCGGGGGTGTAGGTGGGTTGTGAGACACTGAGGTGGCTCCATATCATCGATTACGATGCTCTTTCACGCCAACCCCCCCCCCACCCTCACACGACTTAAAATTTCGGGAAAATACGTTGTGAAAGGGGTCGTACAGGATGTGAAAGAGATCCTACAGGAGGAGGGAGTCGAAAGGAGGAGTCACATTTATTCAAGATTTTACACAAGGCAATGGTGGGCCCTGTGTGAGGCGCTCATCGAAGCGGTGGAAGCTTCCCTAGTATGTTTGTTTTAGCGCGGCGCTAGTCTATTTCTATCAATGACTGCGCACCCCATGGTGGCAACCACTGGTGGGAACGGGCTGGCGCCGCGCTCAAAAGTACATACGCAGGAACCCTCGCTCCCGACATCCCATTGAGCACAACACATCTGGAGTCGCGTTGACGTACTGGGGTTTGGTACAGCAAGCCCGCCCTGTATCGAATCCTGGTCCCAGCTTCGCTCCCAGGAACTGCTTTTAGGTCTTCATTGGACACGATGGTCGAGTGATGATCGAGAACAAGGATCTGCTCCAACCCTACTACGAAACAAAGTCCGTCGGTCAGCTACCGCTCGCCGAGTGCTACGGATTCTTCGGTGAGTTACTAGAGGTCTTCTAGGAAGTGTAGTCTTCGGAAAGTTGTAAAGTTGATTAAGAGGGGATTTTTGAAGGGCACCCCAAAAGGGCAAATAGCGAGGGTTAGATCGGAACGTCCCAACCAACCATCATCGTCTACTGGGGTTTGTTTTATTCATTCTTTTTATTCAGATACTGAAACCTTCAGGTGACGGGGAGGGGTTAGTGGAGGGGGACCACATTGTGTATTTCCATACCCGTTACTATAAGCAAGTGGTGAGGGAGGGATGAATTATAAGTACACATATAAAGACTTTGGAGCATTAGCAAATTCATAAGGGATTGACAAGAGGATCGTAATTTGCCGCGCTGCTGGGCGTCGCGTGCGACGTCCCGCCCGCAAAGGACGATGGTTTCAGGCAGTAGATGGCGACAACATGCAATTAAGGACCGAAAACAGTAATGAGTGTCTACGATGACGGGGTCTACATGAAGTCCGGTGCTTCATTCGACAGGTTAAAACGAGTTATGAAAACGCCGCGCCCATCGCCGCGCGTGGCGGTGCGGCAACACACTAACGATTCTCTTTGACCGTGGTCCACCTTTATAAGGGCCTCGCTACGCGTCACCGCAGAAATTTTACTGCCTATCGTCGTGCCAATTTATAGCAACTCTAGCTAATGTCAAAGATTACGGTGACTTTTCATTCCTTCCGGGACCGAACTTCACCCCAGGATTAAGCTACCTGAAAATCAATGTTTCATTTCAGTTACGGATAAAGGATGGCGGGTGCTAGCCGACGTGTGGACCACGGAATGTGGAACGAAAGTAAAGAAACGACGAAAGAGGGATATTGTTAGGATGGAACTCGACACACCGTTCTTGAAGTACGTTTCTTCATTTCTCATAAGCATCTCTTGCAATTTTTGTGACAAGCCCCGCCCCCTGGGCGGAGTTTGTCACAAAAATTACCCCCAGCTGTCTTTGGCTCGGAGGGGATCACATACCAGCGCGGCTATGCCATGTCATGTCGGCCCGTCTGCGTACCCTCACTTAAATGCATAAGGCACGATTATTTGATACATGTTAAGAAATAGTAGGGGAGGGGGTGCTATATAGGGAAAGTGACGAAAAAGCAAAGCTAAACGGGCAAAAACCCACGAAAAGTCCTTCGTTCTGCACGGCATTGGACGAGCATTTCTGGACGAGCTTCCCGTTGGATCGTGCCAAAAACCGCTTGATAGATACGGCAGCAGACGTGGCACGGTCGCGTTACCACGTTCCCTCCTTTCCCCTAATTCCCGAAAAGCCTTGTTATCCATTCAACCCTCTAGCAACACCATTCAATTTATGAACGTACGTACTAAGCGTTGTAATTGTGTGCGCAGTGTCTTCTAGGATAACTCGTCCATTGGACGAGTTTGTGTGTTTCTCCTTATGACACTGTTTTCAGCCAACGATCGCTGCGGAATATTGTCGTGGCAAAGTCGGGAGATGGTGTTGTCGACTTTCTTCTAGAGGAGCTCCATCACAACTCTGCCCGTTTATCAACCGCAGTATTCACGTTGATTTTCATAATTTTACGGTGGATACTGTAGTAATGTGTACTGTGCGCAACTACTGGTCACAAAACCTCGCCCTTCCTGGAACTCTGCCAAATTAAGAGGAAGATATCAGATAATAGATAAGGATTATATAGTGTATAAGTGATGTCGAATGCGATCGACATTTATTATTGATCTCACTGAATGGTAGGCTTACAGTACTAGTGACAAAGTACGGTACTACTGTGTGAAGGTGCTGTTGGCAGTATAATTTGATTGTAATTAAATCCAAATTCTTTACAAAACCAACGACACAACCACTTGGGCTATTCATGGCACGTCACGGGTGAATGGCACCTTCCGGGTCATAGACGCAGACATGACCCTGCCTCTTTGCACTCTCACCCACGTGGCATGACGCTTTCAGTTTGACGACTTTTTTTACTCACTCCTATTCATCATTTAATTGTGCTAAGCACGATAATTTCTGTGATAGAAGATTCGGTTTCTGAGTGAGTTTGTGCAGAGCTCCGCCCCTTTTCAGGCGCGCTCCTCCCACTTTCTTGTGTGCATCGAATTTTCATTTGACATTTCGGCCGATTCTATAACATAACACTGACTATCAGCTTCTTCTTGCCACAGCATTTTTGAGAGAACGTTTCTCAACTACTGTTCATATTGTCCTTTGTTTTCTCGTTGATATATTGATAAAGAGTTTCTAATGATTTTACCATAGGCATCGCTTGGTTTCTAGCGCCGTCAGCTGCCCAAGCCATTCGCTGCGACCAATAAATACGTACTTCCGAGAAGCCCATAGTTTTTCACTTCCGCGCTGAGCGCACGGCGCATCTAAGGAGCTTAATCGGGCCAAATCTCTCAAGACCTCAGGAGCATACTCACGACAAGACTCACAAGCATAACACATCATGGAAAATACGGGAAGTTTGAAAATAGGAACACCATAAGTCTAGTTCGCTGCGAGTGAAGGGGCGTGTCAGGCAGAATAGGTTTGGCGCAGCTTCTCCACCAGTTGTTGAAGCGGATAAGCGATAACACTTGGTGGAAAACGAGTAATGCGAACGATATGATACAGTTTTATCACTTGCTCGCTCCAGTAAGTGGAGGGAAACGTGTTTGTCACCGGACCGAACCTGTCCTAATTGACACGCCCCCTCATCCGCCATCGAACAGGACTGCGCTTTCTCGCGGGATATCTTCAAGCATCCAAAGTGGATTCTGCTCTTGATTACTGGGTAATTATAACGTTAGCTGTACCTCCAATTACCATGTCAATGACAGTAGTGGAGTGTTGCGCCATGATTGCATAATATTACAAAAATTACAGTAACCATCGATTGTGTTCCAACCCTTCTGAATAACCACCAACCCCTTTCTCCCCTCGAAATTATAAGGGAGTTGGTGAGGAAGTGGGGAACTCCAGCCTTGTTCTCAGATCCCACCCTTCCATCACCCCTGCACCTACAAATGGGCTCGCCGGAGGGTTTTATTTCGGACAGCGGTGGCGTTTTAGTTGGATTTTTTTCCTTCACCGCTGGCTTTTTTTAGCATCTTCGCATCCCTATCTGGCACCAAACTTGTCTGAGAGGATGAATACTCTAATTTCTACATCTTCAGACCCCTGCAAGCCACTGTATAGCATCCCAAGAAGGGATCGCTTGGAAGCTTTATTCTTCATTCTTAACAATTAAGTAACTGTGATAGTAAAGTGTATCGTGGACCGTGGGTTCAGTGAATCATCACAAAAGAATACAACGAAACCAGCAAAACCAGTCGTGAACTGTAATTATGTATTCGCATGAGCGCGCGAGCTACAAGGTGGTGATTTCAGTAAAAGTAAACCTACGGTCTGACTGGTGGAATTTTACGATCCTCTGCCCTTTTCAATCAATCCGTGTAATTCCACTCCAAACACAAATGGGGAAAGTCATTTCAGTTAAGAGCAACATCATGGCCTAAACGGTGACTGAGCAAGAGTACTTAGCTACCATTTTTCCTTGATGGAAGATTTTACGGGCGAACAGGCAAACAAATCGACACAATGTTACTCCTTCCACATTCTGTTGGGTTTGAACAGAATGCAAGCAGTAAGAAGTCATGGAGGGAGGGGGGGGGGAGGGTGGAGAGAATCTTCTTGCTCTTCACGCAAACAAAACGAGCAAAACGAGCTCGAGAGCAAGAAGATTCTCGAGATTCTCGAATGGAATTTTCACAATTGATGATTTTTGGCGATCCGCGATACCGCCTAGTTCGCCGCCTAGTTCGGGACGCTGCAAAACTGGTATTTATAACAGCCGGGTGTGAAACGGGAACGGGTTACCGAAGGAGGAACTTTCAGTTACCGAAGAACTTTTGGTTAAGTATCGTACTGACACCCCCTTTTCACTTACCCAGATGCTGTACCCTGATGGAACGCCCGTCTTTCCAAGCAGCAGGAAATGAATGCATAGAAGACTAAATGAACACAGCACAGCGGACCCAGAAGTGCAGCACGAAAATGAGACACGCGACGACAATCACGAACTTCCTCTTGCTTCATGGTAGCCAGTAGTCTGTCCCGGGGTCGCTGGAAGAATTACTCAGCATCGCCTACCTGATGGCGGGAGGGAGTCTCGACTTCCTAACCCTCATACCTGAACGAAAGTTTCTCGGGTTTTGTCCAGCGACTGGAATGAATACCAAACTTTATCACGAGAATGTTCGAGAATGTTTAGTATCGAGCAAAATTCAGTAACCCACGCGGGACTCAAACCCGCGTTTCCCACTGACCAGCGGAGGGGGTCATCCGTGGCGGCACCGGGATCGCTCCTACCCTCTCATGGTCAGCTCAACAATTTCCTAGCAACTCCGATGGGGTAATGGATAGTGCTGTCGTCCGTGCAACGGGAGATGAGGGTTCGAGTCCCGCCCGTGGTCTGACTTTTGCCCATACCTCATCATTCTTGTGACAACGTTTGGAGCGCGGACCGAGGCTTAAACAGCAGTTGTCGTATTAGAATAACGAACTGTTGCAGCATTTCCTTCGACCGGTTTTAGTAGTAGTGTGAACTTCTCCTCAACAGTGAATCTTATAAAGCAGGTCTATCATAAAAAGTTATAGATCTTCTTGTTGGTGACGTTCTTTCGTTTCTCGTTAACGGAAAAGATAAAGAACTGGAACTGAAGGCGGAGTTACATCATTAGAAATCAGCAGAAACCTACGGACACAAGAGTTATGGGAAAAAATCAGATCTCAGAAGGTACTCGAACCCTCATCATCCGCTTGCTGGGCGGTTGCGTTATCTATTACGCTACCGACGCCACTCGTAAGCAGTCAGCTAAGTGGTTTTTGATGCCCTTCCAGCACTCATTCGTTTAACGTGGTGAGCCGTTCAACTTAGAGGGTACGAACGGTCCCGGTAGCGTATTGGATAACGCGGCAGTCTGGTAGGCGGGATATTCGGGTTCGAGTCTGTCTAGTGTCTGACTTTTGCACATAACTAAGCATTATTGTGATTACTACAGACACTACAGGAAAACTGCCGCTATACGCCAATGTATGATGCGCTGAGAGGAAAAGGAGACCTCCGCTCAAATCCAGATTCTGCTCATCCTGCCACACTGTCTATCCCTTTCTTTCGCATTCTTTTTTCAATTTCCCTTCTTGTCATCTAACCATAAGTGACCGACTACGCGGAGTACGGTAGCAGCGGTTCCTCGAACCGTAAGGGGACTTGTATACTACAATCTTACCGAGATGCCCTAGAAGGTTCGCTACTCGAGTACGAATGCTATGGGCTCGAGCACTCAGAGGTGTTACCGTTGACAGTTCTGCAAGTAGAGATTCTGGTCGAAACCCATTACTCGGTAGTTTACAACGCTTCGTCCAAAACAAAACGTTCCTGACTCCAAAAAGCGGCGATTAAATAGATTTGCCGACAACGGAACCGATCGGAGCGGCACAAATTTCCTCTCTGACCTCATGCGGTTTCTAGTTCCACAACAACAACAACGTCGCAGTTTCTGTTCGCCCACGAAGGCAGTGGTTTTCGAACATTGAAAATGGGGTTTGGACTTCGATTCAACCCTCACTGAATCAGAAAACGACTTTGAATTGCAGAACAGAATAGAGAAACATAGTCAAATCATCCCACATTTGCATACTCCACTAACTCTGCGCCCTAAAAATTTGTGTGGATGCATCATGCATTCGGTCCCAGCGCTATGTGGGGAGAAGCTCAGATCGGATTTTTTTCTTGTCAAGTCTGGCGGACAAACTGATCATTTTGGGTGGCAGGTTTGGTCTCTTCACAATCTCAAGAGAACTCAAGCTCAATGGCCGACCAGGTGCCATCTAGACCTTCATCTTACTGAAGAGCACTTTCCACGACTGCTGCAATGCGGCGAAAGCTGGAAGCAGCTAGCTCTAGCCATATACGACCAGCGTAGAATGCTCTTTTTATACCAGGACTTCGCACTTTTGAATTCACAGGCCCTTAACGGAGACGAATGCGAAACAGTTACGCTTCACGCCAAAACCAGTGCACTCCATCTTCTAATACTGCGAGTGTAGCAGAACGTCAGTGAGGAAAGCGCAAGGGTTGTGAGTCCCCGCCCAATATGCCGAAGTCGCGAATACTTGCTACCAACTTCCACAAGAGGGCCATACCTCTATAAAAATAGGGACTGGCGCTGACGGGGTTATACAAGTCAAAAACGGCAGGAGGGCTCAGTTTTTGGCGCCTCCAGCGCTGGTAGTTCTTGCAGGGAGAGCCATCCCCTGGGCAGCAGCCCTGCCGAACCTTCGGGAAGAGTCCTCTCTGCGTATATGGGTTTGACCGCTCATGCGCTTAGATTTAGGTCAAAAAATGCTCAAATTAGCGCACAAAATTACTTCGTCCACTCCAGGTTCCACAAGGTAAGGGAGGGGCTGATCACTACTACTTACTCAATGGAATTTGGTAATGATAACAAGGGTTGCAAATGCAACAAAAATTGTCGAACCTGTAGTTTCACAGAAACGGATAACGTCATAGTGTCACATGTTACAGGCTTAC